TTCCACAATATCAACAAACTGGACACAACCCTTTTGCTTACAATTCTCAACACATCTCTAAAAAACTTAAACTCTGACTTCTAATATACAATAATAATGATATTATTATTGACAAAATTCGCAGACATTTTAAAAATAACAATCAAATCTCTATTACATACTGGAAAACAAATATTAATAAGAACTCTCTACTCACTACCCCCTCCCATCAATTCAATGCTTAGTTTGTACAGGTTGCTACCTCAACTCTCATAGAGTTGCAAATTGTTGTACAATTAATGTATCATTAATAATTTCTACCCAATTTCTTGAAAGAGTTTCTTCTAATACTTTTAACTTTAATGCAAACTATATTGATCTGATTCATATAATTGCAATTAAACATTCATTATCTCTACCTTCTGTTCCTACTATCTATATCTCTAACTCTTCTATATTAGAAATTTTTAAGTAAAGAGAAGCTACACATATATTTAAACAATATTTCCTTACCAATACAATACAAAATATATTTAACTTCTATACTAATGGCTCTGTAATTAACATCGGTACAGACCAATGTACAATAGGTATTAGATGGGTACAAGTTAATGATTCCAACTAAATAATTCACAAATTCTCAGCTAAAATCCATTACTGGTCATCTTCTTACAAAGCTAAACTAATATCAATTCTTTTACCTGTTTCAATTATCTTTCACAACTCAATAATCAATATCTTTACTGATTCTTAGTTTAATCTTTTCAAATTTAGCTCATGGCCTATATGACACATTCTGCTCAATATTATCAAATCTTATAACTATTAGATTAACTTTCACAAAGTACAAGTCCACTCTGATAACACCTATAATAATTTAGCTGAATCACTAACAAAACAACATAATTCATCACCTACATTATACTTTAACTACACAAGCATTTATAAACCATATCATATAATTTTTTGAGATCAACATTTTATTAAACATCTAACTAGAAGCTTTACCAAAAATATCTGCAGAGCCTACATTCTAGAAATGTGATCCTTTCAAAAATATAACACAGAATAGAAAGACTTGGTTTCTCAAATTGATTAGAGATCAACTTGGTTATTTTTTAATCATAATCAAAAACCAACTTATAATATCACTAACTTTAAACTCAACTATCTTAAATCTTTTAAAATTAAAATCTTATTAAATGAACTTTTTATCTACTTTCAGTTTTACAAAACTTACCTATACATATTTTATAATACTAACTGTTTTAACTGCAATTTTGTTGATTTCACAACCTATTGACATACATGCTTAAACTCATTACTTATCTCCAATATTATTCAAACCAGTATATCTGAATACATTAATCACACAAACCTTGATTTATCTATAAACTAATAAAAAGAACTTATTTATAAAATCAGTAACTATTATGCCTTTTATCCTATATCTCTTCAAACCAATCAATACTATCTTGATATTACACTCAAAGAACTTATCACTAAATCTTTAATTGAGATTGTACAAAACTTTAACATCTTATACAAACTAGTTTCAGAAACAATTATTACTATTCTGTTTAAAGTTAATAAACTTTCTTATAAACAAATATGGAAACCATATTGTATAAACTTTGCTAACTGGAAATAATAACAAGAACTTAAACTATCTTATGCCAGACCCTCATTTCAATCAAATCAAAATAACAAAAAAAACTTTAATTACAAAAATTATACTTATTCTTGTCTATATAGGCTACCTGACCAACTATATTTTAACTCTAATACCTGTTCACCTACTAGCTATGCTATTCATAAAATTAACATCTGGACTATTCTTTGGATCAAATACAATATTTCTTATAACTATATGCTAAACTTACAAATCTAGGTGAGTCTTGATCACTCTAGTAGGTTTAGGTTACAGATAAATATATCCGAACTTTTATTCTTGAATATAGTTTTTCTTTTATTTGTACTTAGAGTAGCTATATAGTTAGCAATTTAATGGTTTAGCTCTGACTGCAAGTGTTGACTTTAACCATAGCATTTATATAGAAAATTACTTTTTGTATATAGTAACTCTATGTAGTTACTAATTTTTAAACTACCAATAAAGATATGAGCAAGGCCTCACCTTAATACCAAAAAAAAAAGATATTTTTCTCTTTTATTTATTTACTGTTTTTGATGTCATAACAATACTAAGATTTATTATTGTATTTAAGTATTTCTTACTTGTTCTTGCTGAATCTAGATATATATGTAACACAAATTACACTGGCTGCAGATCATCACAGGAACCTCAATTTTCAATTTTAATATTAGTTTCAGACTAACATTGCATGATCATGCATTCAAGCTTTCTTAAACAGTTAAATTCTCACTATGCTTCAGACAATTAAAACTATTAATTTCTTCATGCAACTTATTGTTTGCTCATTACATTCAGGTGGCCTAACTACAGAATAAAACTGATCAAAAAAAATCTTTAAAAATTGAATTAGTTTTTTGAAATAATTCTTACATCTAATCAAAAATATAAATAGGTTCTTTCTTTTTTACATGTTCCCTCTCATAAAGAATTCTTGCTATAGACTTAATGACCTTAGTAAGATCGATTTTATTACTTTTCTCTGCCTCTAACATACTTGCTTCTTCTACCTTTTTTACCTTTTTCTCTTTATCTTCAAGTTGTTCTTTCCTGATTTTTACTCTTTTGAGACTTTTTAATAGGTTTTGTATCAAACTTATATACTAAATCGTTGTCCTTGGCCTCTTTCCATATTTCTTATTCAACGCACAGAATTTTTGCGATTTGATGGCTTGGCAGTTAATGCATTCTTTCATTTTATATATATCTTCTTCAGAAAAATCTATATATAAAAGTTGTAAGGTTCACTGGAATTCACTCGATATTATTAAAATACTGTTCGAAACCTTCAATTTTACAAAACGCTACTCCACATTTCAGAGTAAGGTAAGTAACGTGAGCTTTCTGAAAAAGTACTTTAAAACAATATAAAAAAATTTTTTGTGAATTGTGTAACGGATCTACAAATGATGGGATAGTTTCCGCTGTTAAAATCTTCTTATTTATTGTAGATCTAAATGTATGTATCATGATTTTGTACTTTAAAAAATTATTTACATATAGGGATCACACTAAATTTGTAAACGCGGGTCTAACACTAATGCTAACCATAAAATTACCAGTCAATTAGAAAGAGATAATCATATATATACATTGTTTTAATCAAAATAATCTACATTATATATTACAGAAACTTTTCTAGTTTTTATATTACTGTAATTATATTTAATTTATTAATTATCAATTTGTTAGGTCGGTAAAAATCCGATCGGGAAAAAAACTAAAAGGGGGAATATATTCCCTATAAAAGTTTGTCTGAAAAATGCTCGGAATGGAATCGATTTTCTTAATACCAGTACGATATTGTACAATTTTTATATCGTATAAAATAAGTTTGTGGATTTTGCTGGTGCTATACACTTTCTGCTCAGATCAGTTAGTTCAGCAAGAGCAAGTGCTTAAAGATTATGTAAAATGGTTTCAATTTAGTGGAATGATAGATCATCGATATTAATTGTGGTTAATGTATCAATGTGCTAATAAATGTCGGGATGATACTAAAATTGGATGATGCTAAAATTACATATCGACAGATTTACAAATCAATTATCGTTATAATTCCGTTCATCATCTGACCAAATTAATTTAATTTGGTTGACCTGCCACAATGTGGTACCAAAATCCACATATACTCTTTTATTATGGACTCTTAGCTCGATAATAATGCAATCTAGAAATTATGAATTTTACTGTTATGAACTATTAGATTCAATCAGTAAAATCTCATAATTGAAATATACATCTCATAAAATCTTTGACATTTACTGTTTATCGCCCAAAATGATCTGATATTATTCTATTGATTAAATAATTGAAAAATTAATTTCGTGTGGTCTTATGAAAGAGTGAAATAAAATATTAAGGTGTGTTATAAAAATTTTGGAAAGTGCGATTAAAAAGAGATATCATATACGCTAAACATTCAAACTATTAAAACTCAATATATGTTTGTCCATATATCTTATTGGCTAGATGTAGTTTGACTTTTTGAGAGATCTTATTGAAATTTTGTTTACTAGGCTTAGTTTAGCATTATGACAATTGATGAAAAATAAAATAGAATTTCAGATTCTGTTAATTATGAAAGGAAATTAATAATTTGGGTTTTTTGCCGCGAAATTCGACCTCTAACATTTCTGATCGGGATAATTCGAACAAAAGCAAACATCAGCGTCAATGCAACAATGAGTTTATGTGTACGTAAATCATAAAATCACGATCGGAAATATCGAAGGGGATTTTCAAGGCAAAACACCATTTTTTTAGAATTCAACTTGTTAATGTTTAGATCATATCTTCCGTTCCTGACTTTGGGTGACATGTCGCAAAGCCTTTAATTAAACCAAGACAATACCCATTTTGCCGAATAATAATTATTACTATACAAATGATCACGATAATTTTACAATAGTTGCTTTATTGCTAGTGATCGCTTTTTTTTTATTAAAAAATACAAAATATGCATTCTATCATACCATAATAATCATGGCATGTGATTTAAATAATGTGAAATGACACCATCAGATTTCACTCGAGATATTTATAAATTAGACCTTGTGTTCAATTGATAAGAAATGAGTGATGAAAAGGGAAAACCTGTAATTTATTTCATTCATTATCTCGATAATGAGTGAAATTATTCACAGGTTTTTCCTTTTCGTCACTCAAATAAATGAGATGAAGATTTTTAGATTAATTTTAAGAGGTGATCATAAGATTCAAATTATATGAAATAAATTTACAAATGAAAATGTCTTATTCCAAAATTGGATTTCGTTTTGTCGAAATCAATTTCTTATATAAATGTGTCGATAAATGAGTGATAACGAAAGTGAATTATATTTTTATCTTTAAAAAATTAATATAGCAACACAATTTTGTATTTTTAATAATGGAATACCATATTTTCCTTACTCTCATCATTTTAATAATTTTCTCCTAGTCGCTAATGTGTACGAAGGTAATTAAATTCTTTTTTAAAAAAAATACCAAACAACCTTATAATTCATGGTCCAGTATTTACTATTTGTTGTATGTTTTAATTTACATTATATATAGTAAATGCATCAACGATTAAACTCAAAGCTACTTTCTTTGCGATGGCTTTGGATGGACAAGCAGAGATACTTGATCGTGACTTGAATAATATTTTATGGCAAAAATCAAATCTAAAGTTTATCAGCGCTCAATCTGAATGCTTAATATTTAGCACTTCAGTGCCATTTTTCATATATTGCATATCACTCGAAATTTCTAACATGTTGAGGCTTTGGGAAAATATTGATAATAGTCAAGGCACATGTTACCAAGTTGATGGCAATCAAACTAACAGGCAATTATCCTTTATTGATTGTGGACAAATTCCTTCAAACATAACACTTTGCGACTTGTGATAATTAAATATTTATTTATTTTTTAACCACAGTGTCTTTTTTGCTCTACAACAAAATAAATTTTAACTCCTTTACACAAATTTGGTTTTATGTTTCATTGAAAATAGTAACATTGAAATTCTTAATCCTTCTTATTTAACATTTCAGGTATACGGATAAAAAAAACAATTATAGTTTAACTTAATTAATTTAATAGTTCGGATAGTTCATTATATATGATGGATTTGTAATATTTTTTTTTTCTTGAATGATCAATAACGAGTAATAAATAGTTATCAGGCAGGTACTGCCTGATAACTGACTTTTTGGTCGAGGATTTAAAATCAGACTGTGAAATTGAATTCCGAAGGAATTCAATTTTTTTAGGAATCCTTGACCAAATAATTAAATTATAAGACAGTATCAGCATGCCTGATGACAGATTTATCCGGCGGCTTATTATGATTTTCTGCCCAATAATAAAATCATTGGCAGATGCAAAATTTAAACTATTTTAAACTTTCGTTTCTCCCAATACTAAAATTATTGGGCAGATAAATCATAGTAAACTGTTGGATAATAATTTTTTTCTTCATTCTGTGCCAGGTTATGTCAATCATTGGCCTAGATTGATTGACATCAGCCCGCATTAAGCTAATTTTGAGTTTAGGTTCGAGTCAGATGAGGATTTAAAATAAAACTTATTACCAAAATTATGAGTAATTTGTTTAATATAGCGTGAAAAGCTGTTTCATAGGTAAAATTTTGAGATAGAAAAACCTTTTTCTTAATTTTGTCGGTCATGATCGACATAACCTGGCACAGAAAGCAGGGGTGCGTTTTTTTAAACGTTTAGCACGTATTAAAGAAAGTAAAAAAGCGAAAATATGAACTTTACACGATTCTAAAGAAAATGATATTGATGTCGATAACATTACTTAACAATCTGTTTGCTCCTTCAAAAATTTAGTTTCACCACTAGGAAATATATGGACAACACTTTTTTTTTAATAAGGCTTATTTCTTTATGAAGCCCAACAAATCCTCAAAAGTAAAGTGGTTAAACGTGACTGAAAACAACCTTAATCCCAGTAAGTGAAATGTTAAACATTTCGAGCAAGACATGGAATAGCCGCAATTTGAATACTTTGATTGCCAATGGTTTTGACGTCTTTTCAAAAATGAAATTTATTATAAATTTAACTGAAACGCATTAGTAAAAAAGAGTCTCTACATACATACATAGATATACAGTAGTAAGATTAAATAAACATGCAAATTTGCATATTACTTTATTAAAAAACAGTTTTAATATCAAAATATCAGTATCATTTAAGTGCTAATGTTTTAATTGACCTTGGATGACACTAGAGAGGTTATTAATAGGGATGGCAACGGTTACGGTTATGACCGGTCATGACTGGTCATAACTGTGACCGACACCGGTCGGTCAGAGACCCTTGACCGACACCGGTCGGTCAGAGACCCTTGACCGACCGGTTAAAAATCTGACCGATAATAAAATTATTATAGAAATTAATGTAATAAATATCCTTATATATACTAACCTTGCTTTAATGCTAAAAACAGTATAACTTATTAGTAAAAGTTCATAAAGCTATGCATATGGGCAAATGGGCGGAATTGGACATTTTTTTAAATCCTTAAATCTCTAAACAAAAAACTTTGGATCAAATAGTCTGTTTTGGATAATTTTACTACCAAGATGATCATCACTATGAGAAGATCCCAACGAACCTAAAATCATTAAAATTCGATCACAGGTCGCAAAATCGGTAAAGATCTGTGTTTCATCAGGCATTCTCAAATGGATAAACCCCACCAAAAACACACGATTAAACACAGAACTTTAACGATCTCATAACCCTGTGACTGATTTTATCGATTTTAGCTTCGTTGGAATCGTCTCATAGAGGTGGTCATCTTGATGGTAGAATTATCCAAAATTGATTAAAAGTTACACACCGCTTAAATTACAATTCTGTAAATCCACTCATATAGTTAAGTATTCTGGTTTGTGTAATATAGGTACGGTTATCTTATTTAATAAATTATATATTTAATAATCATATAAGTACACAATAATTTTTTATAGCGTTTCTTATCTGGTGTTACTCATACGATTGATAGTATTTATAAAGATTTTCTTAATATGTTTGAAATTAAAATGAAATTCTAGTTTTATTTACACAACATTTATGGACAAAACACAGAATATAAAACGCGGATTAACCTTTTTATAGGGTAATATAACGTTTTCATATATTTTAATAAGGTTACTAGCTAGTGTTAGAGGGAAATCCGGTTAAAGCCGTTGCGTAACGATCGTCGAAAACGTGACCGAAAACGTGACCGGAATCGTAATCTGGATCGTGACCCAAAATCAACGATCGTGTAACCCGATTTCTCCCCATTGTATGCAAGAGAAGCCCCAAGATTCGGAACAAGGCACCCACGATTGTAA